ATTAGTTAGCACATATCCTTGGATAATTTAAATCATGCATTTCCTTTGTAAAATGGGACGCCCAATTACAGAAAATCTGCTCTAAATCGTAAAATAAAAAATGAATTAAAACTAAGATATTATTTAATTAAAAAAGCTTTTAAATGATTTTATGAATAAAAAAATTCAGAAAAAATTAATGAATAATGAACTTTTACAAAATATATTTTTCATTTTTAAAAGTTCAAGAAATTTTTCATTTTCAAAAATTCATTTTAAACCTTAGGTATAGTTACCCATCATATATATATATATATATATATATATATATATATATATATATATATATATATATATATATATATATATATATATCTATCCTTTTTTTTTCCTATATTTTTTTTTTGAATATATTCACTCTCTTTTACTTGTCACATCCGGAGAAAGTAGGTCAACCCTTCGGCAAATTCTTAACTTTCTTCCCTTACTTTCTTACATTCCCTATCTTAATCTCCCTCCCCATGTCTCTCTCTCTCTCTTTATCCCTCTCTCTCTCTCTCTCTCTCTCTCTCTCTCTATATATATATATATATATATATATATATATATATATATATATCCCCCTTTCTCTCTCTTTTCCTACCTCCATATCAAAACCTTATTTTAAAATCTATTTCTTCCCCTCTTATACTTGAAATGTTTTTTCGCTTGTGTCTGGATAAATTTAAAAATCATCTGTTGCTGCAAAATTGTTTAGTCTGAAGAGACGGGGTCTGTCTGATCCCATAAAATAAATTATTACCATGGTTTTCTAATGTTTCTGTTTTCATCATTATATATATATATATATATATATATATATATATATATATATATATATATATATATATATATATATATTCCCATCCATCCTGAAAATAGGATGACGATTTACTTTAAATTAAATGCAGAAAATCTGGGAGAATATATGCAAAACTTTCAGCATGAACTAAAATTTGTAAAGAAAAAATAAAGTAATTTCATTTTTTATTCTTGTCTTTCATCATGAGAAAAGCCAACTTATTTAAGCATATTAATTTATTATTTAAGCATACAAACACACACACACACACACATATATATATGTATATATATATATATATATATATACACATATTGATTTCTCACGTTTTTGAATCTGATAAATTCTATATCCTCACAATCTATCCAAACTCACACTCACACACACACACACACACACACACACACACACACACACACACACACACACATATATATATATATATATATAATATATATATCGTTGAATATGACATGGACTATTTTATTAATTTTTTATGACAGTTAATTTTTTATTTATTTTTTTCAGCTTTTTTAATTTATTACGTTTCCTGGTAAGAAGGGTGGGCAGAAATTTTCCGTATTGTTCATTGTCCTATGCGTTTTTGGTCAATTTATCAATTTTCAAGGGATTTGTTTTTGGGTGTTGTTAATTTCTTTGCATGTCTGACTGGACAGAACGTGTTTTTGTGTTGTTTTGAATACTGGTAAGTTTGTTTATACTTAGCTTCGGATGTTGAGCGCGGCTGGAATTCACATGTCACTTATCAGATCAAAGCGCTATAAAAAAACATCTAACCTAATATGATCCCTCGTGGTCAAAAATGCAGAAATTCCATATAAATCACATTATACGAGTGAACTCGCTGTGAAAGTGGTTCTTTATATCGCTCCCACTATCAACCTCACTAAAGCAGAGGTAATGGGGCGTTAACAGTGTTAATGGGGAGTTTTTTTTTTTTAAACAATAGAAATACGCACCCCGTTGAATTCTAGCCGAGCTCAACACGCGAAGATCGGAATAAATGCTGCTACCATTATTCAAAATTACACACACACACACACACACACACACACACACACACACACACACACACACACACACACACACAAAAAAAAAAAAAAAAAAAAAAAACAAAACAAAAACAAACAAAAAAAACGACTTTTTCAATAGTCAAATATGAAGAGATTTTAAAAACAAGAAAAACAACTCCTTTGAAAATGTCTAAAAAAGTGGTCAAAAGGGTTTGGGATAATATGGTAAATTGCACTTCCTACTTCCCACCAAATGGAAAAAAATGTAAGAATGCTGGAATAACTAAACAAAAAACAATTAAATTTTCCTTGTGTGCCATATTTAACGAAACACTTTTAAAAGAAAGATTGCTTCCCAAATATACATTAGTATATAATATATATATATATATATATATATATATATATATATGTAGCGAATTATGCATCGAAAAATAATTCCTATTGATCTGTATCTCACTCTTTTAGACCGTTATTTAACTCCTCTCTTTAAAACTTCTCTCTATTAAATTTTAATCCCCCACCTTCACCTTTAGGCCTTTCCTATTCTTCTTTCTTCTGTTACACCCTCTCTCTAGAGCTTTCATACATTTCCCTCTTACACTCCCACATATGCACTCTCACTAAAATTTTGTTTTTTATACCTGGAGTTATATTTTCCGATTTCTTTTTGAATTTGTAAGTCTGAGGAATTGAATCGTGATTACGATTCCAATGTAATAAATTATAACCATGGAATATTAGTGTTTGAGCTATATATATATATATATATATATATATATATATATATATATATATATATATATATAAATTTTGAACAATAAATAAATATTAAAAATTAAAATCTTTAGAAACATTGGGTTGTAGATTAATATTCTTTCGTTTTTTTTATTATTATTTCATTTAGATTCCTCGACTAGTTTCGACCAAAATGGCCATCATCGGGAAGAGAAATATTTCTGCTTGTTGGTAGCAGTAAACTACAGAAATGAATCCTTTGCTGGAGAAAATGAACTTTTGTCTGTAGTTTTCATTTGTTTTTTTTTTTTTTTATCTTTTTAACATGAATCTTTTAACAATCCTTGTGTTGGTCAAACAGTCTCTTTTTAGTTGTTATTTGAGATAAGAGCTGGATATACATGCTGCTCTGAATTCTCTGGTCAGTTTGACAGTTTTATTGGACCTGGTGAAGGGATGTGTCTCTGTTTAGTGTTTGTGTGTGTGCTATTTGGTTCTTAGGAAGTGAGTGAGTATGATATGTGTATTGCTGTGGGTGTGTGTTATCATTTGGTTCATTAGGAAGTGAGTGAGTATGATATGTGTAAGTGTGTATATTCGTGTGGGTGTGTGTATAAGTATATAAGCATGTCTGTCTTGTGTGGGTGAGAAATATATATATATATATATATATATATATATATATATATATATATGTGGGGGGGTTTTTATTTTAAACAATAGAGATACGCCCCCCGTTGAATTCTAGCCGAGCTCAACACGCGAAGTTCGGAATAAACGCTATATATATATATAAGTACCTATTACCAAACGGATAAAACAAACAAACCACCAACAATCACAGTTTAATTTCTGTCTCCAATCCCTTGAAACATTACTATCACATCATACCATATAAACCCGTTATTAAATTGAACTACCCTTTCACCCAGCACATTGAATATTAAACTAAACATCACCATATAAATTAACCAATAAGGATTACAAATTTCTACTTGTTACATATACACAGTCACCAAAAGCAAACAAATAACCAGCTTTAAATATAACAAAGCCCTATTTTTTTTTATTTATTTTTTTTTTTTTCAAAAATTTAAAAATAAATATAAATAATAATAATCTTTACCTATCATAACTTTACACAAACCCCACCACACGCATATACATACATGCGAGGAAATATTTTCCAGATGGAAAATACATATGACATGTACACATCAACGAGACATTTCCGTCACACTTCCAATTTTTAGATTTCAACTTTTCAACATACAAATGCGTATGTATAGATATAACACCACCCGTATACATACATGTGTCATAGCCGAAACTGCCCACATATGTTTATATATGTATGAGTCCCGACGGACGACCAAGTATGTATATGTGTCTGCATATATCGATGTTTGCGTTAGTACGATGAATGACAAAACGACGACATTTCCCCCACCACTTCCACAATAACAGCAATACACGCAATCTACATAAACCCCAATTTTTAAAAAACATTAATCAGTTTGTCTGACGATCGCTAAAGCGTGAAACCCAGGGTCACAAACTCACATCTATCCAACCAAATGTGTTAGCTCTATCTCTGATATTGAGCCCTTTCTAATAAGTAACGCATATAATATATAAATAATTATACATATATATATATATTTGTTTATATTTATATACACTTTTCACACACACACACACACACACACACACACACACATATATATATATATATATATATATATATATATATATATATATATATTGTGTGTATGTGTGTGTGATTGGAACTTCTGGACAATGCTGCATCTGACATTCTCTTGGATCTGTTTTTTTGTGGCAAGTGACTGGCTGGAGAGGATATATATATATATATATATATATATATATATATATATATAAATAAAAATATATATGTATATAAATAAAAAGAAAGAACAGTAAGATATAAAATCCGGTGTTCTTATAGATATTTTATTTTTACAAAATAGTGCTCAATGTAAATTTACAGAGCATTAATATTTTTGAAACATGGTTGGAACTGTGTAGCGAAAATAACCATATTTTAAATCAATTAATTTATAATATATATATATATATATATATATATATATATATATATATATATATATATATATTCTTGAGATGATGGTGAGCACGCCTCACAAGTGATATCAATACAATTCGTACCACTTCCAATAGTATAACTCATTTTTTGCAGTTCTTAGTCTATTTTGGTTACATCAGTAGAAATCAGAAATCACCAGTTCCCGACATGAAGCAAAACAACGATAAACATACAAATACAGTAAAAAGAAAACAAAATAGAGAGGGCACAAATGGAAAGGGGGAGGAAAAAATAGAAGTGAAAGGAGAATAAAAAATAGTGGGTAGGGAATTAGTAAAGGTTAAAGAAATATTAGAGGGGGGGAGAATTGAAGACGGAGTAGGAATGGAAAGAGGATAATAATAAAACGCAGAAGAGAAAGTAGAAAATATGAACGAGAAGGGTGAAAGAAGAAAAAGAGAAAAAAAAGAGAAGCAATGTAGAAAGGGTGGAAGCAGGATAGGAAGAAGCAAGCACACTGAGAAGGAGGGGAAGAAAGCGGAAAGGGAATAGAAAAGAAGGGGAAGTAAAAAAGGAAGAAAACAACAATAAGAATAGAATAGAACGGAAAAAGACGACAAAAATGAATTTGGGAATAATACAAAAAAAAATGAAGGCGGTTAATGAAAAAAAAAAAAAAAAAAGAAAAAAGAAAAAGAAAAGAGAAATAATAAACAAAAAGAAAACCGAAGTAAAAAGAAAGGAAAAATTCTAAGTCAACTTGAAAGAGGAGGAAGAAAAAAGTGTAAAACACTGCAAGACAAAATTGGAAAGAAATAAAGTGAGAAAAAACAGAAAGAAACAAATGAAATACAAGAAGGAAAAAAATGTGACAGAAAAATCCCAGACGAGAAGAGAAAGAATTAGAAGAACAAAAGAAGAAGAAGAAGAAGAATATATATATATATATATATATATATATTATGTAGTGTTACATTACAACATGCACATATCCACTACAAAACTGTACATTTTTTTAATGTTTAATCAGCTGGGAAATCACAATGGTACTAAAATATTTGATGCTTCGTTAACTGCATTTCGGAAAAAAATATTTTAGTAGCACCGTGACTTCGCACCTAATGAAACGATAAAAAAAATTTAACGTTGAAACATATATAGATATATATAGTTGGTATGTCCATGGTCTAATGTAACACTGCATAATAAATATTTATTGCTCTACTCCTGTATCGAGCCCTGTTTTAAATGAATGTTTTGAAAGCTGAAGTCTTACTTTTCGTTCTTTTACACACACACACACACACACATATATATATATATATCTTTGTGTGCGTGTCTATGTGTGTGTGTATGGAGTGCTGAAAAGTTTTTTCAAAATCAGACTTTTTAAGAAAATCTACTTGGTCGGGCTGAGAACCTTCCAGCATCATCTCATATGCATAATGGCGCTTGTAAAGAATAATATCATTAGTTATTACTCCACAGGAAAATAATAAGGATGGAACTTAAAAAAAAAAATAAATGATGGATAGAACGATCAAAGAATTGGTCAGTGTTACACATAAATGAGGCTAAGCACTTGAGTTCATTAATGAATTCACCATAATGTTACTAAAACCAACGAGCGACTGGAAGTGAAAGATAATGCGAAAATTTTAGAAGGAACCAAAAGCACAGTCCTAAACAGGAAACAAGGATTAAACCTTTACTCCTGTTCAAAAGAAAGAGGTTTATGAATCGGACGATAGGCAAGCCTCTCTACTAAGAAAAAATGTAGTAAATAAAATTTCAGCATCGTTAGGTGAACAGTTCTTATAGCTTGTACTAACGTGTACCCAAGAACTTACCAAAAAGTAAAATAATTTGTCAAGTGTTAATTTACAAGATTGCAAGTTCGTAAAAATCATAAAAGTTTTAGAAAATGCTGTTGGCGTTGTCAAGCGATAATTACATACATGATTATTGTGCTTTTTCACTATGCAAAACTGCATGTTTCCACTCGGAGTAGTCATTTCGAAAAGAATATTATAATTGTAGAATTGTCCTTTTTTTGTCAGGGGCAAATATTCGTTATGTCTGAAATTGCACGTTGTACTTCACACCGTGCATATGTTAAACTGTTAACCGTATATAGGTCGATATCGCAGGAGGAGACCTCCTAGATAAGGTAGCAGATGAAGGCGAGAAGAATGGATTAATCATTAGCTATAAGAAGTCAGGGAGGATGATTATCAATGAGAGACATCCCAAGGTTCCAGCTTCGAACTGTAGGCATCAATCAACTACATTAATTAGATAGCGAAATAATGGACGACGGGAAATGTGACACAGAAATTAGAAGGCGAATCAGAACAACGAAATATACCTTCCAGAAATTAAGCAAAGTTTTAAGAAATGAGAACATTTCGTTAGAAACAAACAAAATAGTGTCGAGCTACTATGATTTTTTTCTGACTTACTTACCTTCAGTATGTACAATGTCACGTACCCCCGGTATGAGTGGGACACATTTCGTGTAGAAAGAAGAACATATGGAGCAAAAGTCGGTTGATGGTTAGGAAACACAATACGGAACCGTCATATAGCCTGACGTGCCATTAACCGATTTGGCCACAGAGGAGCGTTCGGTTAGCAAGGTCGATTTTACAGTGTTTAAACTACAATCTTCTATGATTCTCTCACGTACATTCATATCTGCTCAAGGCGTATCCAAATGTAAACAAATGACGTCACATTTCATAATGTGTGACGTCATTTGTTTATATTTGGATACGCTTAATTTCTACATAATATGTACGAGGTGTTAGTGAAGTGAACCGATTCCAATCGATGCAATTCTTCGCGAAATTGTAAGGAATTGTGTCGTTATTTCTGTTTCTCAACACGTTCTGTCTTTTGCCAAGTGACATAAGTTGGAATAAATAATGAGGTTGTCTCTATTTTTTGTGATGGAATATTCTAGAGAATACCTTGCTTATGGAGTGACCATTGTAAGTTTGAATTGAGCAGTCTTGTTCCAATAGCAGAAAATACACACCTTACAGCTGACAAATTCATACACTGAACATTGGATGTAAATATTCAACAAAGAAGTACAGGATGCGGCAGAAATACCTCCCATATTTTAAAGGTTGGCAAGAAGACCACGATAAAAAAAATTACTTCACTGTTGTTTAAACAAAGGGCTATTGATTTTAGACATCTGGTTTGTAAAATGACATGCTTCAAATGCTGGCCTCTGTTTGCCATACGCTTTTGTGGATGATTTCTAAAGTTTTCCATCATCCGGAGGTTCTAGGTTGTTCAGGTTTTCTTTTTTTAAGCGCTGAACCCTGGCCCTGAAATGTGCAACCGAGAGAAGTATCGATTTTCTATCCGGAACAGCATCATTCCGACGCAACAGGAAATGAACACGAAAGACTTTCTGTGTTGCAATTATAGGTTCACCAAGTCTTGAAAGTAAAACGTTTCAAAAGCAAACGTACGGTGTGTACCGTCCAAGCTATGATGGTACCTGGTGGCATCTGAAATAAAAATGTAAGGAGTTAGCTAGATGAAGACCCCATTGTCACTTACCTTAGTTCACTAGCTCTACACAGGTAACAGTTTAAACTATGGTAGTTTTTTTCTGCCGCAGCCTATAGTAATAGAAAATTTCTAGCGGGTTAGATATTAGCGAAGCCAGTGGTCAGGTTTCGATTCCAGGTGAGAATCTTCCTGCTTCAATGACACTGCAATTTTAGCTCCTTAAAATTAAGTGTAGTAAATACATGTAAGCTTCTAAGAGGCAGTTTCTCTAATATAGCGTTTAATGAGATTTATCCTGCATCAAATTAAAGCGGTTTCAATCTCACCATTTGCCTTCTCCAAAAATATGTATATCATTCAATAATTTGGGGAATAGTCATTGAAATTTCAGTAAGTGTCTGGACTAGTGTTGCCTATCGTTATCATATAAGTGACCTTTTGCCAGACTAATATATATGACCTGTATAGTATGGATGGTTTAAATATTACATTGGAACAGACAAATGTGATGCTCGATTGTAAGGCTCTGAATATCTCTCTCTCTCTCTCTCTCTCTCTCTATATATATATATATATATATATATATATATATATATATATATATGTATTTGTACGTCTATGATCACTAACTGTGCCACAATCATGTGCGAGCTGGCTTCGCAGAGAATTACCACACAAAATGCACCATTACTGAAGTTTGTTGACGCATCGTCATCAAGTAATCGAGTATCAATTTAATTTTATTGTAAGTAAGAATGAAATTAATTTGAATGTCGATAAATATCAATAAGTGATATTTTTTATATCGTATGAAGGAAGTCAATGGCGCACCTTTGCTTCGTACGCACTTTCAAGCTAGGCGACATTTTGCCAGACTACCACTTAGCTGTTATCTGTAATACGGTAAATGATTGATGCGTTATATGCGAGAAAAATAAACATCTACTTTTATTTACCAACATCTGATACCAACGTCGTGGGCCAACGTAATAAAATAGGCATGACTTCCACTCAAATCATCTCAGCAAGTTCATCTTTTTGGGAGTGCTTGCCTCTGTGAAAGTCCTATGAATCGTCTTCCGCATGAACATAACGCTTTTCTGCTTTCTTCAAACCATACAAGAAACTATACAAGATCGGACAGTCTTATGTTGTGAGCGCATTCTGTTTTCAGAGAAATATTCAAAATGACTACTTTCGAAAGCGTAGGCTTGTCATTTTTTTTTAAAGTGGGTAGAGGGATACAAAATAAAAGGTAGAGTTTACGTGGATATGTACTGAAGATAACAGTTAACCCTAGATTTGAACAGGTTAAAACTGTAGTGATCGGGGAAGCATCCTCTTGGGAGATGTTTCGACCAGGTAGCGGTTCGTGGGAAGAAGCGGAGTAAGTGGAACTTGCATATTATAGGAATGAAAGTGATTCGTTACAACTTGCGTGGTATGGCGGGTCGAAGCCGTGGAGGTTTTGACTGGTGGAACAATGTAATTCATCTGAACACTCACCATAAAAAAAAACAAAGATATAGCAGTGTGAGGCATCTAAGAGGACGCAGAGACACTTTTGGGTGGAAAGTGAAGACTGTGCAGCTCCCATCCATATATGGAAGCAGTACTCCATTTTAAATCTCAAGGCACGTGGCATCCGTGAGGGAACACCCGGTCATCACGAGTGATGAAAGTTCTGGGTTCGATTGGTGATGGTTGAGGGTCACTAGTTTGGTTTTTGAAGCATTGAATGTGGCTAGAAACTGAGCTGCTGGTCAGAGAAGGGATCAGCTGCCGAGCTTTTGTCATCGAGGGTTTTTGTGGTGCACCCATATACCGTTGTTTTATCAGCATATGTTGTATGTGTGTGTGGGGGGGAATATTTATACACATACAAATTTTTAATTTATTGTATTTCCAACTAATGAATAAACAAACTTTTCATACTTTACAACTAACTAAATATGCATAGAAAATAGAAAAAAATTGATGTAATAGAAATACATCCCATTTATCCATTTTAATGGGTGAAAAAAGTATTCGTATAATGCAAATTTCAGATTTTAAAACTTTTAAATTGATTTAGTACTCTACATTATTCAAGTAGAATATTCTAAAATGTTTCAATAAAGTTATCATTAGTTATTTTAGCCTAAAATACCAACAAAACATTATGTCATTGATATTCGTGCAAGAACGTTTTCATCATGACAAGAGGTATAGAATTGTCAAATTCGCAAAAAGAACTGATTGTTAAGATCTGGTCAGAAGGATAAACTTACAGGAATATCTAAGACAACCTGAATATTCCATTTACAACCATTAGTTAATTAATTGCAAGATATAAATAATTCAAAACTATTGAAGACCAAAGAACAACAGCTACTCTACGGAAGATTTCTTCGAGATCTTCGAAGAAATTGAACAAATCCAATGGTTACTCGTCAAGAGTTGCAAGATGATTTGCTTTCACCAGGAATCTGTGTCCCTAAATGGACAAGAAGCAATGAAATTCATCGGAACAATCCAAAGTCAAGCTCCCATCAGAAAACACCACTTCTATTGAAAAGACATAGAAATGTCAGGTTGAAATTCGTTCGTGTGCATAAGGTTAAGTAAAAATCGTATTGGGAAAGAGTATTATGAACAGACGTAACCAGAATTAAATTGTTTAGACCTAATTTTAGAAACCATGTACGGAGGAAATATGGCGATGCCTTCAAACAAAAGAACAAGGGTTTCAACAGTGAAATTTGGTGGTGGCAGCATCATGGTTTGGGATGTTTTTTTTTTATCTGTAAAAGTTACTGGCAACATAACAGTAATGATGTTATAATGAATGCCGCAGCATATCAAAATATTTTGGAAGCAAATTTAATGAGTTCGGTTGAAAAACTTCTGATTGGATCTTCCAACACGACAATGATCCTAATCATACTGAAAAATCTACAAAGAAATGGCTTGCTAAAAATAATGTAAATATCCTGAAATGGCCAAGTCAGTCCCCAGATTTAAACCCAATCGAAAATCTGTGGCGTTATTTGAAAATTCAAATCCAGTCGAGGTCTCCAACAAACATCCCGGATCTGAAGACCATATGCGAAGAAGAATGGAACAAAATACCAATTAAAACGAGCAATTCATTAATTGAGAACTTACAAGAAGAGGTTGGTTGTTGTAGAAGTGAATAATGGCTATACTCCTAGTATACTCCCAGGAAGATCATTTATGTAGAAGAGGAAGAGGGTTAGACCGAGAAGCGAATCTTGGGGGACGCCAACATTGATCGCCTGGTATTGAGAAGACTGGCCACTAACAATTACCTTCAGAGACTTACCCGTTTAGGAAAGAAAAGCAATGGCAGATTTGCTTTATTTTTTTAAACAGCGCATATATCAGTTAAACCTCTGAAAATAAGTAGTTAAAATTTGGTAACGAAATGCGTCTCTTTTTTCATCCTAACCATTAAGTTTGTTTTAAATTTAGATTGTCACATAGGAAAGACTTGTACGAAAAATAAGTTTGGGTGGTTGGGTGATTTTTAGAGATGAACTCATCTTTAGCGATAGAAGTTAAAAAGAGAAGTAGTGAACAAACAGTATATACAATGGTTCGATCTGGACTGCGGTTTGTATTTTTTACTGCTAAGAGCATCTTTTCGTTCGTAATAATTTCATTCCTAGCAAGGCGATAAAGCCACTGAGATACGAGAGTGTTACTGGGATTGAAAGGAAATGAGAACACTTTAGTGAGATGAAAAGACAATAAAAGTACAGTATCCGCGAAAACATAAGATGGAGATTGACTAAGATTTTTGAAGAACGTGGGTGGCGAGGAAGGAATGAATTTTGAAGAACGCAGGTGTCGAGGAAGGAAGGAATTTCGAAGAACTCAGGCGGAGAGGAAAGAATGAATTTTGAAGAACTCAGGTGGCGAGGAAGGAATAAATTTTGAAGAACGTAGGGGGCGAGGAAGGAATGAATTTTGAAGAACGTAGGTGGCGAGGAAGGAATAA